CCCAGGCCATTCCCAGACAACGGGAGATGGAGACACAACGGCACCCACCCGTTCCAGGGGGATGCAGAGCAGCCACGTTCAGCTTCTGCAGCCCCCAGCCCAGTCCTGCCCACAAGAGCCCACGGTCCCATCCGGCCACCCTTTCACCCAGGACGTTTGCAATTTACGTGAAGTACACCAGAAATTCTTTGCAGAAAACAAAAACAAGGTCTGGGTGCTGCTGTTCAACCCCACACCACCGACCCCACTTCTCACTGCCAGGGTCAGCCTTCCCCCTTCCAAATCATTCCTCCGCGAGCGTTTCAGACACACGGTCCCATTTCTGGCAGCCTCCCCTGCGCTAAATTCTCTCTGGTGCCTGGAACAGCTGCTTATTCCTCCAGCCTGGGCCTTTGAGATGTAAATAGTGTAATCCAACTTCAAGAGGCAAGGAAATATTAGCAGAATTTAATGTAAATATTGTATAAATCATCCCAAAATAGCACGACCACGGGATGAGCCAAAGACACTAACTGAAAGTTAAACAGACTAAGTAAATATAGACTAAATATATTCCCCTCCTGGAATTGCCACTGGAATGGATCCAGAGAGGAAATAGGTTAAAATACAGTCTTGTGGCAGTGATATTAAAAAGCCATTGGCCCGTTTGGTGACATTTATAATGAATTTTATGTACTCCATACATTTTTAATACATGCTGAGTTAAATACTATCAAATCTATAAAAAGATTATGGAAAAAAATGTCTGGTTTCATATGGGTGGACACTGCCTGGAACTGTCTCTGTGGGTTTTGTGCATTAGAAGTGTTTGAAAGAAAACATGAAAAGGAAAAAGGAAAAAAAAACCCCGCAGTGCAGTTTTTTAAAAGTGTTTCTCGCCCTTTTGGAGCCTAGAAATCACCGCACACTTGGGCAACAGAATTTCCAGGACATGAACCGCAATGGGCAGCAAGGAATGAGATGCATTAATTCCATCCCTTACACGTGCAAATAGAGAAGAATCAATTTGACTGACTGTGTGGCTTCACGCAGCTCCTCGCCCGGCCCAGAAGGACCCTTCCCCTGCACAGATCCCTGCACAGCGGGTCCCCGGCCACGGCCGCAGCAAACGTGATCAGCAGCAGCTTTGGCATCGGTGCTTGATGATAAACAGATGCCCCAAGTCACCTAGAACAGTCCTGGAACACAGGCCCTTGTCTCCATGTCCCAAAGACTATTTTTCAAAACTCTACTTTGTCCAAATTACAAAGAGGGTGGGAATTCCATGTCCCCCAGCCCCATAGAGAGCTGCCACCCCCAGGCACCCCATGTGCCGGCAGAAATCAAACCAGAAGCTACAGGTAAAGTCCAAAACATCCAAAGGGAACCAAGATGGGTCTGGACAAACCCAACCCTCAGCTTCTCTGTAGCTGGATCCCTGTTGCTATGATTTACATGCTGACATTTTCATGATGAAAAGCTGGAAAGACCCTAAGAAGGTGAGCAACTCCTGTTGTGCAATCGCTTTTCACAAGAACTTCTGAAACAGCTGCAGCACATTAACTAAAATTTTCTTTCTTTGCAGAAATATCCTCAACCTTCAGGGCAGGAGAGGAAAACGGCTGTGAAATGCAGAATGGGGGCTCATACTGGTCTGTACTGCGTGGCCTCCTTGGCTCACTTCGGTGGGTGGCCGGGGTGACCACCCAGCTCCAGGACATCTCTGGGCTCCTTACGAGGAGTGGTCCCAGGGTAAGGGGTTATTCTGACCAAAGCATGACACACAACGACAAGTTCAAAGCTCAATAGCAAAGAGACTTTAACCTTACTGCTAACTGGAGGCTGTCCAGTCCCAGGGTGAAGCTGAAGGGAGGAACACGGCAGAAGGGTCAGGGAGGGGAGAAATGTGGACGCAGCGAGTCCCACCTCAGTTTCTTTCTGCCTTCCAACATGACAGATGTTGCTGGCTTTAGTCGATGCTGTCCCAGAGGCAGGAGGAGGCATTTGCAAACGCCCACCAGCCCGGGCTGGGAGAAACACCTTCCCTCATTGGCAGCCAGACCCCAGAATAACTTTTCTCTCCCTATTTCTGGTAAGAGACTGGGCTAATCCACCCCCTCAGCCGACACAGCCCTTGTGCTGCACAGGCCGCACCGAGAGGACCCTGCCAGGCCCTTCCCCAGTCACCACGGGCCATGGGTCCCCAGGAAAGGGCCCTGAGCCCTTTTTCTCAAGCAGCACAACGACCCGACAAACCTCTGTGCCTTCACCAGTCAGCACCATCCCTGGGCCCCACACACCCAGACCCCACGCAAGGTGAGGATGGACACGGGGCACAGCTCGGTGTCTGTGGCCACTCCTCCGCCCTGGTGTCACCCCAGACCCTGCTCACCCCATCTGACACATCCCACCGGCGCTGGGGGACACGGCGGGTGCTCACCCCTCCCCACCCCACCACGTCGACGGGGTCAGTTCTGCTCAGCCAGAACTAGTCCCCAAGCAGGGCTTTGCCCAGGTCCAGCTCTCCTCTAGGGACTGAGCCCTCCATGAAACTCTTGTGATGTGTCCCCAATTCAGACAGCATTTGGCAGTTCCAAAATATGCTAAAATATGCTATTTACTTAATTTGCTCCAGGCAAAATGCAGCAAAGTCAGAAAAGGCATTTCCTGTGGTATGGTTTACAAGCTGAAAACGTCACAGACAGGTTTTTCCCCAACAAAGCAGGTTGGCCTTGGACAATCCATAAGACACCAGCTCCACTTCACCAAGCAAACCAGGGGACCACCCTTGTCCTCCCCTCCCAGGCTGCCACGCAGCTCACAGCAAACTGCTCCCAGAGGACATGGTTGTCACCAAGAGAAGGAGCAGCGCTGGTCGGCTGCGGACCATCAGCCCTCGAGGAGGGTGGCCACAGCAGAGGAGCTCACAAACTCACCTGCTGCCCAGGTCAGTGTCCACAGAGCCATATCCAGGGAACAGCACAGCTCCGGGAAGGAAATCTCCAGGGGGCAGCCTCCTCTTAAAAGTGCTGGGCCCACAGCTGTAGTAATTTAAGCTCTGATTCCTATGAAACAACCTAGAGAGACACCTGCCCTGGGCAGGGACACCTCCCACCACACCAGGTTGCTCCAAGCCCCCTCCAACCTGGCCTTGAACCCCTCCAGGGATGGGGCAGCCACAGCTTCTCTGGGCAACCTGGGCCAGGCTCTCACCACCCTCACAGCAAAGAATTCCTTGTTTCTCTTTGGTAATTATCCCTCATGTTAATTTCTGACACTGGGAGTCTGCTGCCTCTGAGGGACCGTGGTACCTCCCCTTTGGCACACCCCCTGCGGGTCTCACAGCGAGGGGCCCCAGGGCAAACACAGCACCAGAAGCTAAAATTGCCTGGAGTTGGGTGAGTAAATCCAGGTGGTGGGAACGGGCCTTGGAGGAACTAAAATTCTGCCCGTTATGGGGTGAAGAAATGCCATGAGTTTAACGGGAGGAGCCCCAGCACGAGCTCTGCAGAAGAAAATCATTTATTTGGTGCGGGCAGCACAAATCACTGCCTTGAGCTCGTCCAGGCTTCTGGCCCAGAGAACAGACCTCTCATCTAGACAGAAGGAAATAACAATGGACATCAGGAATAGCAAGGGACTTTAATATGGAATTGAAAAAAAAACTCCAAACCCTTGATTTTTATTATTTTTATATTTTGCATTTCCAAAGCAGAGGAAGCATCAGACCTTTTTACTATCAGGTGTTGGATTGATTTCTTCTACTTTGCTTAAAGAAACTTAGGTCGGTTTTGAGATTTTGATTTCTTAAATATTTATCCCCTTTGCTTTTCAGGTATTTCATATTAGATTTCTTTAATATTACTTTTTAAAGATGGCTTCTATAAGGTGCCTTCCAAATTAAATCCAGCAGAATGATATGCTTTGAGACACAGTAAAATTGAAGACCATGATAATCAGTCATCAAAATCGAATTTCTCCTTTGTTTGGCTTCTGCATTCAGTGAATAACATGAGAACTTAGTCTTATGCCACAAAACCGCAGGCTACTTTCTATATAAAAATCTGCCCCATTTTGGCAAAACACTAAATTTCAAAATTAGAATTAATTTGAAGAGTGTTTCTACAGGATGGAGATTGATGACTTGAATTCAGAGCAGTGAAATCAGAACACGTTGCCATTACCTTCGGTGGCCAGACCGACTCAGGAACGAAAATAACTCTTCATCAACACGTTTCCCACAGCAGTTCCTGGCACCACGTCGTGCTTTATCCCGACTGTCTCCAACGGCAGAGCTCATCTATGCACATCTATCTCCTAAAACTACCAGCAAGGGGATCAGGAACCAAAGCAGCAAAGGAGGAGCAAATGCAGGAAGTAATGAAGTTCTGGTTTTTAATTAAAAAAAATAAATATTACATTTTGCCCAAGAATCAAAGGCAGCCACAAAACCAGAGTGAAAAATGTTGTTTCTTCTCCCTTCTGCGCTCAGCTGCCCATAAAGCCTTTGATGAAAGCAGCTCCCACTAAACCCTGTGTGTTCCTCGAGCTCCCCCCAGGCCCAGCCCCACTCAGGGACCCCCTCGCCCAGGGAAAGGCGGGATTCCTCATGGGATTCCTCACAGCCCAGCTGGACCCCGAGGCGGAGCAGCCAGAAGCCAGCCCTGGGGAAACGCTTCCGAGGGCTGAGCTGGAACCAGCGGGGAATAAACCCCGGGGACTGTCCCGTGCTGCAGGGACACGAGTCACTGCCCAGGGTGGCCCCGCCAGGCCAGTGCTTGTCACCTCCTGGGAACAACTCTGTGCACCCCCCATTGCTGCCGAACCCCACAAAGAGGTGAATCCGTGTGAACTCCCCAGAACCACCCCGACCGCTCAGAACACGCTGTTACCCCCCGAGGTCTGCTCTCTGACAGGGCAGTGCTGGGAAAAGGAACCCCAACAGAGCAATGCTGTCGTGCACCAACCTCTGGAGCACTCAAGTGTTCTCAGAAATGTAAATAATGCCATGGAACGCCACATGGGATAGGTAAGCTGCTTTAATAATAATAAATTTATTAAGTGGCAAGAAGCCACTCAGCTTTGTAAACTGATTTTACTCAATCACAGTCCTTCTATTTTTTTCCTCCTTTAACATGAATACATTCTGTCATTTGTATGTGAAAGAATTAAGTACAGATATGTCCTGGATGACTCTCGCTGATTTTACTGGTCAGAAAAACATTAAACATGCGAAAACAGCACCTTATTCAAACTATAGGCCTTTTCTCATTACATCTCCTTTGCTGCTAAGCTAAACCGTCACTGAACAAGCCACATCTACAGAGGTTTTTTTTGACTCGTCCTGTGTTCTGAGATGTAGTGGGGCCTGCAGAAACGTCTGATAAAACCTCACATGTAGTAAGTAATTCCGAAGGCTTTGTAAGCAATAGCTGCAGTTGCTTCTTCAGACTAGAGAGAGCTTCTCATGCATTAATGCACTTAGTTAGGGTTTGTGAGGAGCTCAGAGGATGTCCCTCTTCCTGATACGGTTTCTTGAGCCTGGACTCTGTACCACAAATATTGTTCAGCAACTGGCTGCACCAATAATTTAAAAAAAAAAAAAAAAAAAATCAGGCTGGTTTTATCAGAAACAAGTAATAAATCTTATCATGATAGTAAAAAAAATGGCAATTTCTGACATGACATTTTCATTGCTTGAGAAGGAATCAGTGCAAAGTGAGGTAACCCAGGCACCCCCTCAGGCTGGGGGCGTCACACCAGGCGCCGCCGTTTGGAGTCCCTCTCCATGTCCTCGGCAGGAGAGTCCCCGTCACACCCCAGAGGGGACACCATGTTCAGCAAAGGGTCTTCCGACGCCCCCCCAAACAGGGACAGCAACAAAGCCACGCCGTAGCCAGTAGCTCGCTCACCCTAGGGGGGAAAAAAAAGAGAACAATTCACACTTCGGACTGTAGAATCTGAGTTTAGTTTTAATTTACTCATTCACTCAACAAGAGCAGTGAGAGCACGTGGCCACAGCCAACACTCAGGGTCCCCGGCAGCTTGTGGCTCTGAATCCTCACTGCTATGGAATCCCTCCTGGCCAGATTAAACCATGAGATTCACGTGAGAACAGAGCTCATACTGGCTCCAGGGTGGATTCATCCTGGCGTTGTTCAGGGCAGGGAATGTTCCACCCAGCATGAGCACGGATTTGGAGTATGAGCCGAGTAAGTTGGGTTTAAAAAAAAAAGGAGGCGGGGAGTAAATTGGCTTGTTTTTCAGGAAAGAAGAATATACACAAGTTCAAAAAAGGGAGGAGGGGAAACCCTCAAGAGGAAAGAAGTGCTTTCTCTGCGCAGGTCAGCAGGCAGGAAAATCAGCTCTGGTCAGTCATCCCAAAACAGTATGGGTGAAAACGGATGGTGAGGGTTACTGCCACCAACGGAGAGCAGGCAAGTTGTCAGACTTTACAACGATAAAGATGTTGCTGATTAAAGTGACAGAATATTTTAAAACCAAGATGAAAAACATGAACAGATGAAGGGATCGTAACAAAGAAACTTCCCACACAGATGAGGAGCCGATGCTTTTCAAAAGAACTGTTCTCCACCCAATTCCCTGGCTTTGAAAGCGATGCTCAGACCCAGAGCACCTGCGGGCACGAGCAGCTGTCTCTGCTGCAGGAGCACACTCACCGCGTGCACAGGCGCAGCGATGTCGACGTGCACCCACACCCCGGGCCAGTCGAAGCCGATGTGAGAAGCAATGAAGAGCCCAGCACAGGAGCTGGGAGTGTTGTCTCGGTCCTGTAGAAACAAGAAAAGCACCGTTGGTCTTGCAAGAAAAGAAAATGTCAAAAGACAGCAGTGCAAGTCTAGTTCAAAGCTTAACAAATGGCCCTAAAACACAGGCCTTTGCTGACCAACAGCTGCAGATCCCTTGGCTGAATCCCTGGTACCAGCCTGGCCCTGCTCAGTTCCTCTTCTGCACAAGATCCTTCCTGCAGCATTTCTGGAACTTGATGCATGTTGTAACTCCCAAACGCAGCAAAAGCAGCTACAGCAATCCCCAAGGCCCCTCTTCTCGACTTCCCAGTTCCTGCAGTCCCAGTTACTGTCTCTGTTGGTTATATGTGATCTGAGGAATATTGGTCTTTACTTATTAAACCGTCTCCATCCAGGAATTTAGCACTCGTCTTAGGGCCATGCTCAAAAGGCAAGCAACCCAGAGACACCTTTGCAGCAGAATATCCTGTTTAAAACTGACACTAAACATCAGTGTTGTGACACAGTGCCTGCAAAAGCCCCAGGTAAAAGACCTTGAAGTTCACAATTATATGACCTATTTCTAAAAGACTACAGCCCTTGTGAAAAGCTTTCAGCCAGCTACCAACAGGACAGCACATTATCTAAAAAATGCACATTTTTATGTCATAAATGAAATTGAATAAAAAATAAATCTTACTGCCACAGAGTTCTTCATATCAGCCACAGCAGAGGTAAATTCACTGAAGTGGAGCTCAGGGCAATACACAAGAGGATGGACCAAGTCTCCACAGTTCCTGCCAGCTTTAACACAGGCCTTTTCCCACTCCTCGTTATTGGTGAGGACAGCAGCGTGATACTTCCCCGTAGCAATTCCCTGGTGAGACACGAGACAAAATTGGGAAGGATTCACCTTAACTGTGCTGGGGAAGAGAACTCTGTCCTGCCCCCTCTCAGCACGAAGAGCTGCACCCCGTGCGCCAGCAGCTCCCTGCTGGTACCTGAGCTCCGGTGAGAGTGGCCATGTCAAGAATGATATCAGCACCGAGGTCCTTGCAGGCGTAAGCGACGCCGTCAGCCAGTATCAGTCTGCCCTCTGCATCGGTGTTATTGATCTCCACGGTTCTAGGAGAAAGAGAGGGCACTTAACACAGCAGGGCTTCGGGCTGGGAGCTCAGACCCCTCTGGTCTGGACAAGAGGCACACCTAAACCTAAGGTGCTTTCGTATTGAGTCCCAGGTGTGTACGGCTGCCGGTGCCCAGAGAGTGCACGGGTAGAGAAGGGTCACAACAGCACTGTCCTCCTGGCTGGGCCTGTCTGCTGGGTCCATTTATGCCTGCCACGTCGAGCTGGGATTTAACAAATTGCTGCCATACAAAGAGGTATCATACTCTGTTTAAAACAAGAGGAGACTCTTACGCAATGGCAGCCTACCTCTAGGACTGAGACAAGACAGACTGCAGATGAACACAGAAAAGTGGCTGTACTGGAAAAAAAGCCTAAGCCTGAGTGCTTTAAAGAAACCTCAGCCCATGATATATGATAAGTATTTTGATGTGTATTTACAAACTCAACTGGAAACTCTAAGCACACTTAAAACTCACTACTATGGCTGCCTGAAATGCTATTATCCATATTTAGGGAAGCTGCTGAGGGACAGGTTCACAATCTGCATGGTATATTCAGACAAACAGAACCAAAGATGATGTTTCCTCTCAATGTTTCTGTGAAAAGGATAGATAGAATCTTACTTTCCAGAGTAAAGAACATGAATGTCGTCAGGTCTTGTTGCGCGTGGTCCGACGGCATTCTCGGCCAAACAGAAAACAGCGTGAAGATTGTCTTTAAAACCCTGGGACAACAACAGGAGAGAGATGGGGTTTGGGTCACATCAAGCTGATTTATTGGGACTGAAATGAATGAATGAGGGATTACAACTTCTTGACAGCAATGCCACTACTACACAGGAAATCCGTGAGGAATACCTTGTGTCTTGAAACTGAGGCCAAGAGCTACAGAAAGTGGGTGAGGAGGTAACATCTAACAGTGGCCAATGACACAGCTCACTGCCCTTCAGCATCCAGCCTGCACCACCGCCCAGATACACCCCACCAGCACCCGTCCTCTCTCTTTCCATGTAAAACCAAAAATATCCACAGCTAAGATGAATATGGGTTGGGGTTTTTTGGGGGGGAGAGTGGGGTGGGTGTTGGGTTTTTTAATGTACCATTCCTGCTGGGAGGCACACAGCATTTTCAAACTCTTTTTTTCCCCTTAGCCTCCTCTCCTCTGGCATAGCCCACTCTGGTTTACTTTTGTTTAAGAGTAAGTGTTTTTATGGTTATGGATAAGATTTTAAAATGTATAATGATTTTGTCATTTATATAATGGCTGTATTGTATGGAGGGATCCTAGGAACAGAAAGAGAGGAAGGACCTAAATAAAAACATAGTTACTCTGCAACTGGGATAGCTAGCCTTAAAAATATCAAATTCCCAGGGAAAGCAGGGTGAGTTTCATGGGTGAGTTTCACTGTTAATCTCTTGATAAAAGTCCATCGTTGAAGAAATCTGGACTTGCTGCATCAGCTCATGTTCTGAGGTCTAAAGAGCAAACACATCAATCAAAACCTTTCAAAATAACTGGCAGCACCTAGAAGCCATAAAGTAACTTTGCAGTTTCTGGTCCAGGCAGTGGGCAAACAGCACTGCTGATGAGACAACCCTCCATCCACAACCCTTCGCTCTTCCAAAATGGCCTGTGCAGCAAAAACCCCACTCTGTTCAGTCTCTCACCGGACTGCACCAAACTCTCCTCCTCCATGTGGGGCATGTGGTTAATGCACCATCAAACAGTGAGAACCTGCTCCCAGTGTCAGCTGCCTTTTCCTGACACGTTCTGTTTGCAGCTTCTCAAAAGCAGGGCTCCCCCTGGCAACGGGCAGCACCAAGAACGATTTCGAAAATTTAAGTGAACGTTCTCTTCTCCTTTGTGTTGGAAAGCTCACAAAGGATAAAATGCACCTTACTAGGAAAAATCACTTGCTTAATTTTGCTACCCAAAGTCCTTTCAAATCTCACTGTAAAACTGTTGGAACAGCATGTAGTCAGGTATTTTCTGAAGACAGATAATAACCTCTGCTCCTCTTCCCACTGAGCTTTCTATCCAACCATGTTTCCAAGTTCAGTCTCTGCGACAAAGCACAGCTAATTTAGACCTCTTCCAATTTTATATTATTCTTAAAAGCATTTTTTTAAAAAAAGTCCTGAAAGAGTAACTAGGACAAACTCTTTCCACAGCATATCCAAATACATTTTCTGCAGGGATTTCATTAACAGGTCGTCTTACATGAGGTTGTAAAATTAAGCAGCGAGATCATTCTTTTGTTTTCACGCCTGAAGGCACAGATTTCTTGTCAGGCATGACAGCTTCTTCAGGCTCAGTTTGTCCAAACATATCACGGCCAGTTTATTCATTGCTTCAATAACTGCACATGAAATGACAGATCACTGACGTTCACACCGACTGTGAATGCAGCTTGTCTCAGTGCAGATAATTACACACAAAACTGCTCTGGAATCGAGGACTGAATGACGGAAGGAACGCACCACATCCGTGGCTTCCCCAGACTCTCTGGAGCTGCAGCTCCTCTCCCTCGCAAAGGCGGGATCTAACTTTCTGTCGGATTCAGTTATGGAAAGGCAGCCTTTTGCCTGAGATGCAGCTCACAAATCTGGTTTCAATTTTAAGTCCCTGCAGATAACTGTGAAGTTTACAATCTTTCCACATCAAACATGGTGCTGGGGCCAAGGCACAGAGCTGAACTGTTGAGAAATGGGAGTTTGGCACTGATCATCCCCTGGACAACGCTTCTGTCAGATCTATGCATTAATCTGCAGCAGTAAGTGTTCTTTGAACTTTGGATACTCCTTGGAGGCAATAGCTGCTCTGTCAGCAAGACTCAGTCACTGGATTTGTGGAGAGGGCAGAGTTTTATTGGCAGTGGCCACTTCTTTTTCCCAGTTCATATTGTTAAAGCACAATATGCATTTTTTTAATTCTTCATATTTCAATACCTGGCTTCTTCCCAGCTCCCCTACTACTTTCTGACCACAGGAGCAAACCAACAAGCACCTCCTGATGAGACCAGAGCTGCCACTTCCCCAGCAGGTTAATATTAGAACTGGCACAGGATTTGGAATATGGACAGACTTAATATCCCAGACTCATCCCCTTCTTTGCTCAGGGGATGACAGCTACCCCAAATCCCATGGCTTAAACAAAATCAGCACTGGATAAATCTGATTCAAGGAACTAGAAACCACTCAGGCCGCAGAACAAACCCTGAAATTTCAGAAAGACTCTTAAAAAAAATTAGCACTCAAGGAATTTCTCACAATTCTCAAGATCCCGGTAAAGATTTGAAATATTATCCTGAAATCGCAGAAAGAGCAGAGTGGTTCAAGATCAGTGATAGCAGCGTCAGGTTAGAACTTCAGGACTGGCCCCCATATCTGGGAATACATCCAAAAGCCAGACTGCTTCTTGGCAATGCTGGGATACATGATATCAATTAACACATTTTACTTACTTGCTTTACAGTGGCTTTGAAGGCACCCAAAATAGCAGCTGCTCCACCACAGTCTCGTTTCATTCCAGGCATAGTAGTCTGTTTAAACAGAACCATAGAAATGTATTTTTTTCTTTAAAATATAATCTCACAGTAATGCCTGCTAAAACTAGTATTTCTGATGTTTCTGTAACTCTGGTCTTGACAGTGCTCAGCCATAACAGAAACACAGAACACGTGCCTGTTGGTGGATCTTGTCTTAGAACTCTTAGCTCTGCTGCTAATTTGTTAGAAAAGAGAAACCTTAGAACTGGCTCTGCTGCTAATTTGTTAGAAAAGAGAAAGGTTGTTTACAAGATTTGCACTGAGGCCAACTCAAATAGGCTTTGGATCTATCTCCAAAATCAGAAATTAAACAACGTTATTTCAAGCTTTCTCCTAGCTGTGGGCAGTACTTAAAGGGCAAAATATCAGGTAGCTGTTTAACCGCTCTGTAAAGTGTTCCTTAAATCCTACTTGGTCTTGTCCCCTGACAGCCTGTGTCCATACGGATGACAGCAGACCAAGTGTTTGCTCAGATAAATATACTTTGGTTTCCTACAGACATTAACAGAGTTACTTCCATCAGAAAACAAGACTGTAAGCAAAGGCAGCAGAAGAACAGGTGTTTGTGTACCTTTCCCTTAATGCTGAGTCCCCCCGTGTCATACACGATGCCTTTGCCCACCCAGGCGATGGTCTGCGTGGCACCATCCGGAGTGTGGCTGAGCACTGCGAGGGCTGGCGGGTGCAGGGCTGCCTTGCCAACTCCATAGATACCTGGAAAACAGAGCATTTAAACACTTGTGGGGAAGAAAGACTGTGGGGAGCAATCCGTGGCTATTTTCTGTAAAACATCTTGGCATACTATGGGCAATAAAACTGTTTCAAAGACGTGCAAATAAAACATTACAATCAGGATGGCAAAACATTCCAATTAACTGCTAGGAAAAAAGCTGAATTTTCAACAAGATATACCTCCAAAGCCTTTCTCTTTCAGCTCCTCATCTCGAATAATGGTAGGAGTAATCCCAAGATCCTTGCCAACTTTTTTGATTTCCTTAATCATTAAAAGAAAAAGGATATTGTCAGTCAGTCATCAGGAAGACACAGTTGTGTCTTTCCACACATATGGGTACCCACTGAAAGGTTCTGTGTGATTTTTGCATGCATACACAAACATTCACAATTTTGGGAGTGGTGTTGGTTTTCCAATGGCCTAATTCCATTGAGACATCCTAGACTTACTGCAGCATGAAATACAAATTTGACCTTTAAGCTCCGCCAATAGAAGAAATCTTCAGAGGTAAAGGCCAGGTATTCACTCTATTGGATCACAATGCAATAGGACAGGAATATTTTCATTCTCAGCAGCTTGCCAGATCTTTATGATAAATCTCATTTGGAAACACGTCAACTCCTGTCCCATAATTTCAGAAACTCTCGCCAGAGAAGCCAGTGACGTGACCAAATCAAGAACTCATGTCTTCCCACTCCCAGAGCCTCACCCCAGCTGCACACTCTGCCCCCTTCCAACTTAGCAAAGTTCTATGAAATATTAAAGGTCAAGGAAATATCCTCAGCATCATCCATGGGCAGGTTCTTTGATGTGCTTCCCACTGACGACATAATAGTTTTGCTAAGAGATGGCGACCCCAGTTCTTGATTACTGCCTCCAGACACAGAATCAGTAACGTTCCCCAGCAGGTGTGTCACCCACCTCCAGGAAGTTATCGGTGTTCATCTCGTTGCAGGGGGTATCCACGATCCGAGCAGCCAGCCTGACCCCTTCTGTGGCACTTGCCAGACACTGGGAAAAGAAGGGAGGACACCTGAGAACCAGCCTTGGTTGGGCTGGTTCCTGCACGGCCTACACCAGACGTGGGGTTCCTCTGCAGCACATCCACGCGTGACTGCAACCCACCACAGACACTGTACAGCATTCAGTAACCTCAGCCAAGCTAACCCTCATTTTTTGTATGCATTAAGCTTCAGTTTGTCCCTGTGCTCTAATTTCTAAGCAACTGTATTCCTTCCCACAGTGAATTGATACTGCAAAATCAGTAGCCTTCACCGCTATCAAAGGGAGACTAAGGTGGCAACGTGAGGTGGAGGAAAGAAAGATAATAGTAAGCCAATTCAGAAAGTCACAATGATCTTGTCGGCTGCTCGGGTTAGAAACCTGCTGAGATTACACACTCTGCTACACGGGAAACTGCAAAATTTATATACAGCAGGCAGAGTGCCTGAGTGTAGTAAAGCTTAGTACCATAAGATATTCTGTATGGCAGGCCCATGGGGAATGTGGAATATTTCGTATTTGCGTAAAACGTGCATGCATCTGTTTCCTCTTTCTTGTGGCAAAATGGACTGGCCCTCACCTGGACTGAGTAAAAACTTAGCTAATCAAGAGTGGACAGAATCAAAACAGCCGACAGCGAGCGTGCTGCAGCTGTTCCCTAAAGAAGGATCCTCGGGGCAAAAAGGACAATGAGGGCACCAGACAGTGAGCTTCAGCTGTGAATCAGCAACCTGAAGCAAAACAACTGTGCAGAAGGAAACCTTGTTGAAGCTTTCCAGCAGCCACACTACACTGAAGACCACACGCAGCAGACAGGTGAGTCAAGATGGGTTTCAAAGGGATCCAACGTGTTGGACAGTCCTTTGTGCTGAGGTATCTGCAGCGTGGCTTGGCCAGACTGGCCGAGGACTCTAACCGTTCCGCATCCCAGTAGACTCACCAACCCCAGCTCACTTTGGAATGGTGCCCAGTTCCCTGCAATTACTGTTGATTGCTTTACTTCCCCCAGAGGGATGAGGACCTCCTCAGGAGTGGAGCCAGGTTTGAGTGACTCATCGCCAGGGCCAGGCAGGTAAATGGAGCTGCTCCCACCCAAAGGCCGAGTCCCAGGGAAACAATCCGAATTACAGAAATGAGCTGTGCCTGGGTCTGGCTCCCTGGGTACGCACCACAACCTGGATAATGCCAGGCTTTAATAACTGCCTTGTAAAACTCTGACAATCCATGCTAGTCCTCACCATAAAATACCCTGACAGTGCAGGAGGTGCAAAACACAGCAACATGCTGAGGGAGAGATTCAGCTAAAAGTCCTACCACGTGCCTCCCCCTGCTCGGCATTAGCTGTCTGGGGCTGGATGAATTTAAGGGGTGAAAACTCAGCTTCGCGGAACCCAGTAACAGTTTTGGCATCGCCATCAAGGAGAAGAACAGGAGGTAGAAATAATTTCAGCTTTGTTTTTTAGTTATAAATAACATCCATGGGTTTGACTCTGCCTATCCCAAGGAACCGTTTTTGACACCAGCTATGATTTTTCTGATTTGGGGCATGGGAAAACTGAACGATCAACAGTTCTACTCATAGCATGTATGTCTGTCACTCTCCTGAAAACTGCTCTGGCATCGTTTGCTGTAGTCATATCAGTTCACAGAGTAAGGACAAAGCATGGAGGAAAAGATACTGAAAGGGGAAAAAAAATGCCCTAAAGTTGCAATTTGGTGAATTTCTGATGCAACAACACTGTACGCTCTGACAAATCCATTGCCAAAAATTGTAAGGGATTTGTAGAAGCCCACTGACTGATCAGCAAAGAGAATGCCTGTGTACTGAACAGGAAGCTCCCCAACAGCTCAAGTGCAAACCTTGGGATAGCTTTTAAGTTGGGATCCTGAAGAGGAATGACCTGGCAAGGTCATAAGAGTTGCTGATGTGGAGTTTTCCCTCTGTAATAGCCACGTGCAAGGGAACAGTCTTTGATTATCTGCTATTAAAAAACAACTTAGACATATTTCACTGTTCTATACACCTCATCCCCAACTGAATCGTTTCTTAGGGTCTTGTTTCTGGCTACAGTTTTCTGCTAGAAAAACTCAGCCAAAGAGGCACATCAGACAGAAATAGCAGAGGCCATAAGGGATCCCAAAATAAGCAACTTTTAGTGACATCACTGTGATATTCACCTGCACAGGCACATACAGATTTTGCTTGGGTAAAAGAAAGGGAGAAGCCCACACACTGAAGGCAATGTAATATCAAAGGCTAAAAATGCACTATTTGCATCTATGATAAACAGGAGAAAGGAAACATTATCTTTGTGCTATGCGCTTGGTGTTTTCCACTCCTGAAATCTAAATTCTACCTCAGTCTTTGCTGCAGTAATACGTTCAATATTTCTACTCACAAGTGCTGTGAAGTGCAGTTTCAAGGAATTTTGACCTACAATAATTTATTACTTTAGATACAACAGCTATTCCCTATGTAGCCTGAGAGAGGTGTATTTGTGCATTCAAGACATCGAAGGAAAAAATTATATTTCAGGGAATAATGGAAAAAACTGATGACAGGGGAAAAAAAATACTTACTTTAAGTGTTGCAACTTCTATTGGTCCATTGTTTTGTCCAACCAGGAAAAACTCTACCGTTACAGTTTTCTTCTCTGTGCGTCTCGACGCACTGGACCGATGTGTGAAGAGGGGGAAAGCCCTGGCCAGGGCACAGGCAGAAGCAAAGACCTCAGAGCGCTCACAGACCATCTGCAACACCCGCCAGGAGACAGACAGGTCAGACAATGTTTGGCACGTGGAACGGTATATTTAAAAGGATCTGTCACCTCTGATAGTATTGGTGAAGAGGGGAAAAAACAAAGAGGGTGGATGGGAAACAAGTGCTGTCTGAACGGAGCCACACTGCTGCCTCCTGTTTGGCAGGGATGGGGAGGCAGCACCAACAGCAGCACATTGAACGGGTTCAGCTCATTTCCCACATGGAAATGAATTTCACTGCTGGGCTTGGCTGGGTGGGAATCAGTACATCCTTGTGAGGGAGCTGGACTGCTTTAATTGTACTAGTGCAATTAACACAGGTTAGCCTACAGAGAGCATGGGAACCATCAGTATGTGTTCAAAACAAATGGAACAAAGAGAAATTATATGAGAATGTGGCTAATATTAACCCAAAAGCTTTTTAACATGTAGAATATTTTTCTGAAGTTCACTAAAGAAATTACCAATGGAAAGCAGTTTTAGCTAAACATTTTCAACGTTAACTATAAGGGAAACAAAATTAAGTAGAGTTATTACTGTTGCAAATAAGTTTTCCAACTGAATTAGATTTTGTTACTGACACTGACTATATGAGTCTTCTCTGACAACCTAAAAATCTGAATAAATCTGGAGAAGCTGTAGAAACAAATAAAAATTCAACAGGTTCATACAGAAGATGACCAAAGCAGCCCAGGAGCTTGTCCTGCAAAGGACTCCCACTGGAGCATTAGTTTGCATTAAGACTTTTAAAACTCAGTGAGTAACACAAACAAGACACCTTCAAGGGGCACTGGAGCGCAGACACAGCGCTCTGCACGCAGGCTGCCTCCACCTGAGAAAGCACGTGCCGACGTCGTAAATCCTAGTTTGAAAGAGACACCACTGGTTCCCTTTGCATGGATGTTCCCAGCCGAAGACATTCCATATATATCCAACCTCAATTTCCTCCAACTCCTTGGGCACACATATGTGATTATAGTTAGGGCCTGTTTACGCGTCAGTGCAAAATCACTTGTAAATGTCAGTATAATTATATCGGCAAAACCTGCCCGCCTCCAGTCTCCTTGGATACAGCTAAAATCCTGAAAAATCGAGAAAATGCTCGACTAGACACTTCAGGGGGAGCTTTTTTGAATGGGCACTTACCAGGATACACCTGCTGGCCCCCCCAGGGAGGCAGTTTCTGACCAGGCGGGTGATGAACTGTGCGGCCGAGGGGCTGTTGTGGCGGCTGACGCGGGAGGGCAGGGCGGCCACCGTGGCGTAGTTCAGGTAGAGCGGGCAGCTGTCGGTGGGGTTGGGGTTCAGCGTGCTCAGCGCCGACTGCCACGTCTGGGGGAAGGATTCAGAGACAAAGGGCTGTATCAGACTCTTCTTCCCATCTCATCCCCACCGTGCCTAGGCACTCTTTAATCGCGGGGGGTGAGGTGCTGGACACAAAGAAATGGCACGCACACTTTTAAACGCAATAACCTCTAGAGTGAAAAGAAACAGGGAATACCGTGAGCCTGTTTATTCACCAGAAAATATAAATGTGCTTTCCATTACAAGCACCTCTTTCAAGCCACACGGATTACAATTTAAAGCCACACCATGTCATGCAGAGGCGGCTTCAGAGCCTTTCTGAGCTGGGACAGTTTTCCTAGAGACGAATAGATGGGTTGATCTGTTAGTGCCGGGCTATTGTGTCACACGGCAAATTAATTAAAAACAAACAAACAGGAGGCAAAGCCCTGCCACCGGGGACTCGGGAGTCCAGCTGAAGGACCCGCCAACGCCTGTCGCGATCCCACCGGGACACACGGACCCACCGCACCCCAACCCTCCGCCCTGCGCGGGGCTCGGCCTCCCGGGACCGCGCCGTCGGCTAATTACGTTAATTGCCCGCATCTCTGCACCCCCCGGAGGAGCGCCGCGCACCTTCTGCCGTGCGCGGGCGGGGAAGGGCCGCGGATCCCCC